CCTGCGGCCGAGCCTCCTTCCTCGTGGGGCGTCGGTGCCGCCGGCTGTGTCCCGGGCCCGAGCCTGCGTGAGAGTTTCTGGCTTGGCTCATCGTGCTGCGCATCGTCTTCACAGTGCTCCGTGAAGCACGTGGCGGTGCCACCACCGTGTGCTGTGGACGAGTGCACTGAGACTCCTGAGCCCCGGGCCTTTGCCCAGGGTCACATGGCCAGCAGAGGTCAGAGGTGAGCCTGGCCAGTCTGCCGCTGCTTCCGGGCAGCGTGCCACCTGCCTGCCACCAAACAGGAGGGGACAGCGGCACTGCCAAGAGTGGGCACGCGAAGGCCCCGCAGAGCTCCGACGCCTGGGGGCACAGGCCTGGCTCGGTCCCAGCTCCACCTCGCTCTCCCGGGGGACCCTGTCCTGTTTCTTGTCTCCTCAGAGGCTCAGGTGACACTCAGCGAGGAGCCCCTCCAGCTCTGGGGCTGTCGAGCGGGCGGGAGCCGCCTCGGGCTGTCTCGCTTTGTTCCTCTTCCTGTCCCTGCCCCGTGGGGGTCCCGGGTCTGTGCTCGGGCGCAGGCGTGCGGCCGCCCCGACGCCGCACCCCGAACGCTGCCGTGCTCACCGCTGCCTCCCTCGCATGTGATTTTCCGCTGGGCTCGCTGACACGGAAGGCGCATCCACCCGGTCCTGCGTCCCAGTGTCTACGTGCCCTGCTGCCCGTCATCCTGGCTCTTCGTTCCGTGTGCTGAGGGGGCGGCACTGCCCGTCCCTCGCTGGCGGAGAGGCTGCCGCAGGGGACAGGAGGGGACGGGGCCCCAGGGGAGTCCCCTGGTGGGGACCGAAAGCACCCCGGGAACACTCCCGGGGTGAGAGTTCCATTTCTGCGTGTGTCAGTTCTAGAATCTCTCTCAAATTGGGTCTTTTGTCATTTGTACTTTTCCGCTGAGAGTCTCCCGTTCGCCCTGGGCTGGCTGGGCGGGCACCTGTGGGTCTTCCCCAGGCTGCGAGGAGAGCAGGGGCCTCATGTGACTGAAAACGAGCCATAAAAAGCAGCGTCCAAAGCAGTGGGATGTGACCCGCACACAGAATTCTGAGCTTTCTAGTAGTTTCTCTGAAAAACTAGAAGTAAACAGGTCGATTTTAGGAGGACTTTCACTCCGGTTCGTCCTCAGCATTCGAGTTACTGATGACAGTTAAATTCCACGTTTCATACGAGGGCGCCGACCCTCGCTCCGCGTCCTCTGCCAGCGCATCCGATTGGGGCCGGCGTGTGGGGGCTGCAGTGTCCGCGGCCCCGACTTCAGGCCTACGGCGGGTTTGGCTCGGCGGGAGGCGGGTTCGCGGCCTTGCTGCCTTCTGCCTAGTGTGCGGGTCGGTGGCTGGGGCCGAGCCCCTCACGCCCGTCTGTCTCTGGTTTTCGGGTGGTTCTGGCCGTCACCGCCCCCGTTGTTTGAGTTCTGTGGGCGGGAGGCTGAGAGTGACCAGGCGTCCTCTTCACTCTGCGCACAGGGCTGGGCTCTCCATTAGGTGACATCCGAGCCAGCTCTGCCGTGAGCTGGGCCGCAGCCTGGCCCTCCAGGGAGGGGGCCCTGTGACGCCCGTGTTGCGTATCCGGGGTAAGAGCTGGCCCGGCTCATACTGAAGGCTCAGCTGTGTCGCCCCGAATAATGGCCACGTCTCACCCTGGAGCTGGCCCCCCCAGCACTCCCGGGTGAGCCTGGCAGCATCTGACTGTGATGTAAATTACGTTCCTGTCTGTTTCAAGGCAGGTGGGGTGTGGGGGCCGGGCGGGGGCCTTCCCGGGGCAGGCAGTGGTGACTTCAGGAAGCACGCCAGGCTGGGCCCGGGGTCTGGCGCTCGGGTCAGACTGCAACCCCGGCTGCCTGGGGGTGGTGGGGAGCAGCCCTTCCCAAGCCCTGGACCCGGGCGAGGAGGCGAGAGGCCTGGGCACCACCGCTGCCCCCCCACCCCGGGCTGAACCCCAGGAACGTGAACGCCCTTTGTCAGATCCCAAACGAGGACAAGTTCCATCAGTCGCTTATGACGTCAGCCCAGCCTAGAGGGGCCAGTCCCAAGAGGGCCATGGACACCCCGCGCCACGACTCCGGGCAGTGGCCCCTGGTCGGTGCCCAGGGCCACGTAGTGGGGCGCGGGCCCTTCTCAGCCCTGGAGGCCGGAAGCCGGGGTCGCGGGGTGGGCGGGGCCTGGGCAGGGTCCTGCTGCGTGTGCCCGGCTTCCGGCGCCGTGCTGGCCTCCCTCAGCGCCTCTGCTTGGTGGAAGGGTGACTCCAGCCTTCATGGGGTCCCCAGGTGCCTGTCTCCCGATTTTCCCCATTTGTACAGACACGAGGCTCACTGGGTCGGGCCCCCTGCTGGCTGACTTCTCACGTGAGCAGCTCCATAAAGCCAGCCTGAAAACGAGGCCTTGCTCTGAGCGTGAGATTTCGCGGGAGACCCAGTCCCTCTGCCCCGTGGCCCCCTGTGGACTGTGTTGGAAGGGTTTGGGCCTGTGAGTGAGGAGTTTTCATTTTCCTAAGACTCTTTGGTAAGGAAGGTCGTCTCTGTTTTGTTTTCACTGTCTTTCATACGTGTTAGGATTGTAGATCGTCATCCAAGCTGGAGGACGGCAAACGCAGACGCCTCTGTGTGCCTTTGTCTCTGGACCCGCCGTCCCCAGGGTCAGCGCCCCCTGACTCACGCTGCCCACAGGTGGACCCCTCAGGCTTCCATGAGTCTCTCCTGCTGCTGGGCCGGCTGGCAGCTCAGTGTCTCTGTCCACTGTGTCACGGGCGTGGTTTGTTCTGGGCTGTTCGGGTTCTCTTTTTGCCCCCCAGAAAGTAAACACCTGGTCGTCTTGTGCACGGTTCACCGACTTAGACGCCCTGGCTAGCAACAGTGGGTCGGGGGCCCGGCCTCGGCCTTCTGTTCCCCACTCGTGTGCTGAACGAGCTTTGTGGTTCCGAGATGGGGCCTGAACTTCCCAGAAAACGTCACAGGGGGTGGCCTGGTAAACAGCCGGCTCCCGAGGGCGCTGGCGTGAGCTCCGAAGCGTTGACACAGTTGCACGGCTGCCGTGTCTCTCTGTCCGCGTAGGTGCAAGTCCAGGCTGTGGTGCTCATCTACGACGCACCGACACCCGGGTTGGAGGACGACGGGTGGGCGGGCAGTTCATGTGATTTTCATCTCTTCATAGTGACCGTTTAAACCTCTGTAAGGTGACATCGTCGACCTGTCGCCCAGGTAGATACCCACGCTGAGTAGCCTCAGTCAGAGGCGTTCACCAGGGGCGGGTCATGTGGTCTCGTTTCTTACGTGCCTCCTCACCGTCTGACACCAGATGTCTCCAAGCGACGCAGCAGCGGTGGCCTCAGACGTCCCCTGAGTCTCTCTCCGGTCTCTCCACAGGGACCTCCGCTTTAACAGGATCAGGGAGATCCAGCCCGGAGCGTTCAGGAGGCTGAGGAACTTGAATACGCTGTAAGTCCACACGTCCTGTCGGAACTGGCAGGAGAAACACGGCCCCCGGTTCCGCACGCCGGCTCCTTCCTGTGACACTGGCCGCTCCCTGGCTGAAGCGCCCACCTCGAGTGACGCATCTGGCCGGACCCCTGTGTTCCGTGTGCCTCCGCGAGGCCTTGCAGTTGGCCACAGTCCCGGCCGAAGTGGAAAACCTGAGCCATGGCCGGATGACGGGGGCCGGGCGTGTGGAGGAGAGGGGGCCGTGTGTTGTGCGCAGACACGGGCAGGGGCGGGGGACGCGCACACTCACTTCTTGAGGAAACTTGGAACCCAGGGCTGATCCCTGAAAGTGCTGCTTCCTGTGTTCGTTTAGCAGACTGGCTCTCACGGTCTGTGTTTCATCTTTCCATGGAGTTTTTTAAGGCTACAGAAATGTTTTCTCATACGCGCGCGGTTCAGAAATGTTGCCTTTTTAATTCTCGTTGGAACTTTCGCAGGCTTCTCAACAACAACCAGATCAAGAGCATCCCCGGTGGCTCTTTCGAAGACCTGGAGAATCTGAAATACCTGTAAGTGACGTCACGTCTCTGCCCCACCCCTTCTGTTGTTTATGTCTGGACTGTTTGATCCTCGGGCTAAGTTTGATGCCGTTGATGAATTTCTGTAAATACATCCATCTAAAGAGGTTTTATTTTCAGAAGGTGAGTGGAATTTTGGCCGAGGGCCCTAGAACGAGCTGCTGTGAGAATAAGGGGCTCCACGGCGTGGGCTTCCGTGCTCAGTACTGAGCCTCGAGTGAGGCAGCGAGTGTGGACTTTCAGGCCACGGCCCCCGAAGGTCGTTCTGGGCCCAAGGCAGTCGCCGCGCGGTCAGTCGGTGTGGGTGTCCAGCTGTCAGGCTGCGGGTGGGGGTCAGACGGGCCCCGCAGACCCAGGCCTAGCGCCGCCTCCTGCCCCCTCCCCGTTGTCACGGGTTTCACCTCCTTGTCTTCAGTTTTATTTATTTAAGTCACTTCATGTGACTTCGCTGCTTTGTTCGTGTTGACGTCTGCGAGGGGGTCGGGCTGGCACGTGCCTTCACGGGCACACAGCCAAAACGCGGGGAGCGGCAGGGGAGACAGTTGGTGGCGCTGCCGGCTCCCCCCAGACGAGTGTCTCACGGGCTCCGAGCATCCGCCCCTACCCCGGGCCGCTCTGATGGGGGCCCCCCCGCCACTCGCTGGAGCTCCGCGTCACGTGCGGCCGAACGCTTTTTCGCTGCGTCGACTTTGAAGCAGAGTCGTCTGTCGGTGTCGATGGGTGTCCTGGAACCTGGTGTCAGGTGTCAGTGGTTCTTTGCCGCAGAGCTGCCTTGGACTGTGCGGTAAAGTGCGTTTTCCGGGGAGGCGTGAGGCAGCGTCACGCGTGGACGTCACCCGCACACGGGGCTGGTCTTTAACTGCGGGCATCGCGAGCGCTTCGCACCCGTTTCGAGGCGAGGGCCAGGCCTTCCCGTCGGGCGTTGGCTCCCGCCCGCCAGCGTCCCTCGCGTGCGTGCGCTGGGCTCGCTCTTTGTTCCACCTTTGGTCTTCGTTTGCGTCTCTGCAGATACGTCTAACGCGAGGGAGTTGAAGACACTGCATTTCCACGTAGGCGATCTCTCTTAAATGACGCTTTTTAAACCTGGTGGGTGCGCTCTCAAAGCACCCGCTGCGGCCGCTTTCCCCTCCCCCACCCAGACGCACCGTGACGCCCACTGGCGGTGGGTGCCGTGGGACCTGGGGGTGGGCCGTGCAGTGGTCAGCGGTCGTGGGTGACGGCCACGGTGAGGACAGGGTGCAGTGGTCAGCGGTCATGGGTGACGGCCACGGTGAGGACAGGGTGCAGTGGTCAGCGGTCGTGGGTGACGGCCACGGTGAGGACAGGGTGCAGTGGTCAGCGGTCGTGGGTGACGGCCACGGTGAGGACAGGGTGCAGTGGTCAGCGGTCGTGGGTGACGGCCACGGTGAGGACAGGGTGCAGTGGTCAGCGGTCGTGGGTGACGGCCACGGTGAGGACAGGGTGCAGTGGTCAGCGGTCGTGGGTGACGGCCACGGTGAGGACAGGGTGCAGTGGTCAGCGGTCGTGGGTGACGGCCACGGTGAGGACAGGGTGCAGTGGTCAGCGGTCGTGGGTGACGGCCACGGTGAGGACGGGGCGCGGGGGCC